TTCACTAAAACTGACTACGTAAGCTTTCAGATAAAGGTACGGACACTGGCTCTGTTTTAACGTTCTCCTTGGGCAGCAAGTCCCCGCTAAGGTGTTCATGATTTAATGAGTCCCAGAAGGACTCGTCAGAGAAGGCTGGAAAGGGTGGTGTTGGAAGTTGAGAAGCCAGCCCCTCTCCCATCACCATATCCTGTAAGCAACTCTTCACCGCCCCCTCCACGCCCTCCCAAGAGCCACCTGAGCTGCTGGAAGCAAAACCAAAAAGCAAGAAGGATCCTGGCTTGCCCACCTTGCCGGATGATGGTGGTCGGCTCTCCGCCCTGCAGACTGGCTCTCCCAATGGAAGGCTCGCTGATGTCGGTCCAGTAAACCATCTTGTCCACACAGTCAAAGGCCAGCCCGATGATGACTTTGTCCTGGAAGCGCAGACCAGTGGTGAGAGTGGCCCCCTCCTAGCACGTGAGTGACTAAGGACGGTAGGAACCTTTCACATGCTTACAAGCATCTGGATACCTTTGAAGATGAAGTGTCTTCAAGTCTTTTGTCCAATTTTTAAATGTTTCTTATTGAGTCATAGGAGTTCTTTACATATTTCAGATAAACATCTTTTGTTATACACATATATTTGTGTGTGTGTGTTCCTCTTGGTACAGAGCACTTTTTAATTTTCTTGATGTTTTTGAAGTGTAGCAGTTTTAAATTTTTATTAAGTCCAATTTATTATTTTTTTTCTCTTATGGCTAATGCCTTTTGTATGTTGTCTAAGATATCTTTGCTTACCTGAAGATCATTTAAAAAAAAACTTAAAAGACATAAATATTGGAAAGGAAGAGGTAAAACCACTCTGTTCTAAGACAATGATCATTAATGTAGAAGATTCTGTAGAATCTATAATATTATTTTAACTAACAATTAAATCTAGCAAGGCTGCAAGATGCACGGTGAATATAAAATTGTATTTCTACACACTAGCATAAAGTAAAATTTTTAAATAATAATGTCTATAACAGCAACAAAAACAAAGAAATTAATAGTAAGAATCTTTAAATGTGCAAGATTCTGTACTAAAGACTACAAAACACTGCAGAGTGAAATTAAAGAAGACCCAAACAAATGAAGACACAAGTTAGTTTAATGGGTCAATCATAGGATTTAATATCTCTAAGGTATCAATTCTCCCTAAATGGAGGTAAAGGTCCAGTGCCCTCCACGTCAGAATCCCAGCAGGCCTTTTTTTTTTCCTTTTTGGTAGAAACTTACAAGCTTACTCTCAAATGTTTCTGGAAATGCAAAGTGAGGCTCTGGGGGCCACACAAGTGGGGGGCCAGGACGATCTCTCACTGGGAGAATCAGGGTTCTCGGCAGACACTTCCCCCCAAAAGGTCAGGGCAAAAAGGACACAGAGACCCAAACCTTCCACCATACCTAAAAAATAACTCAAAATGAATCAAAGATCTAAATGGAAGAACTAAAACTATAAAACTCTTAAAAGGAAGCCAAGGGGAAGGCTTCAGGACACTGGATTTGGCAATGATTTCCTGGATATGACATCAAAAGCAAAAATACATAAATGGGACTTTATCAAAACTAAAAAACATTTGTTCATAAAATGAAACAAGCACCAGCTCATGGACGGAGAGAAAATATTTCCAAATCACATACCTGATAAGGGGTTAATTATCTAGAATATACAAAAAACTCCAACAACTCAGTAACAACCAAACAATCCAATTACTACATGGGCAACAGCTTGGAGAAGACATTTTTCCAAAGAAGATACACAAATGGTCCATAGGTGCATGAGAAGATGCTCAACACTGCTGATCATCAGAGAAGTGCAAATCAAAACCACAGTGAGATACCACTTCACGTGTGAGGGCGGCTGCTATTAAAAAACAGAAAATAATAAGTGCTGACGAGGTAAAAGGGAAGTTGTGGCCTTTGTGCTCTGGTGGTGGGAATACAAAACGGTGCAGCTGCTAAGGAAAACAGTACGGCGGTTCCTCAAAAAATTAAAAATAGAGTTACCGTGTAATTCAGCAATTTCATGTCTGGTTTATACCCAAAAGAAGTGAAAGCAAGGACTCGAATATAGAGGTTTGTAAAACCATGTTCATAGCAACATTATTCACATTATTCAGCTTTATTCACAATAGCCAAAAGGTGGAAGCAACCCATGTGTCCGCTGATGGATGAATGGATAAACAAAATGTGATATATTTTCAATGGAATGTTATTCAGCCTTAAAAAGTCAGGAAATTCTTACACATGCTACAACATGGATGAAACTTAGATATTATGCAAAGAGAGGTAAGCCAGTTACAAAAGGGCAAATACTGTATGATTCCACTTAGAGGAGGGACCCAGAACAGGCAAACTCATAGACAGGAAGTAGAATGGGGGTTGCTAAGGGCTGGGGGTGGGGTGGGGGTGGAGGAAGGAGTTGTTATTTCATGGATACAGAGGTTCAGTTTGGGATGATGAAAAAAGTTCTGGAGACTGACGGTGATGATGGTTGCACAACAATGTGAAAGTACTTAACGGCCTTGAACTCTGCACTTACAAACAGCTGAATGTAAAACTAAATAGACAGAACACAGTGAGTATTTATCGTGTTGTTTTGGCTCCCTCCCCTCCATCGATCCCACCTCAATCACCTGCTTTTCATAGTTTCCCTTGAGATTTCAGCCTCTTCCCTCGGTCTTGGGGGAACATGACTTTCACAGGGAATTTAAGCCACTCCCACGACCTGGGAGTGTGTGCTAGTGGACACAAAGGAAGAACAGTGATTACCCTTCGAAGGATTTATGCTTCTGGGAGGCAACAAAACACAAAACTCACTTACTCGTCCCTTCAGCAAATGTCTTTCTGAGTGCCAAGCACTATCTGGGGATCTGGGAACACCACTGGGAAACACGTACCTCCACGAAACACAACAGGCAACAGTTTCTGGTCGTGCCTGCCTGTATTCTTGGTGGGAAGAGATGCACGGGAAACTGAACATATACACTGATATATAATGTATTGAGTGGTGCTGGGTGCTCGATGAAAAACAAAGCAGGATAAACGGAGGTTGTAGTTGAAATAGGGACAGTCTTCTCCCAGAGGTGATGTGCTAGCAGAAATGTGAGGGAAGTGAGCAGTGCAAGTGTCTGGAGTGAGAGAGCCCCAGACAGGGAGACAGCAAGTGCAAAGGCCCTGAGGTGGGAATGTGTGTGCATGTTGAGGGCCCAACCAGAAAGCCTGAGGGCTGCAGCTGGTGAGTGAGGATGCAGTGGTAGGGAGTGGGGTGGGAGAGGTACTCAGAGGCCATGGAAAGAACTGGTTTTTATTCTGCATGAAGGGTGCATCCATCAGAGGATTTTGTGCTGGACAAGAACGTGAATCCAATCAAGACCACTTTGCAAGAGGCTTCTGAGAAGCATTTTTATTTTGCAGGCTTTTTTGGATCACGTTTCTTCCCTGGTCAGAAAGGAGAGGGGGTGTGGCAGTGGGCGGGGTCTGTGATGTGGTGATGGACGCAGGAAGAGAAAATAAGGCAGGCAGGAAGGACGGGAGCAGGGAAAGGAAAAGGAGAAGAAAGACCGGAGGTGGCAAAGAAGCCCAAGCAACATGTCTACCTGGAATTTTTCAAGCAGGCTCTGCAGCCAGAACTGAGGACTGACAAGAATTTCTCCTGGACTTTCATCTCCAAGAGCTGACGCCTGCTCACTGTTACTTCTTCACTCCCCAGGGGACCCCGATGGCCTGGCAGCCCTGACTGAGTCCACAGCCAGAAGCATCTGGGTCTTAGGGTTGGTTTTCTGGCAGAAGTTCGGGATCACAGATAAAACAGAATGGCTTTTCAGAAGTGTCCGACCTCTATCTATGGGACCAGAATTCCCCAACTCACAAAACACCTCTCTGAAGCTTTGACAAGCTCTAAGCTAAAGCTCGTTACTGCCTCTGGGCAGATAAGAGGATCCTGTGACCGGCGGCTGAGGAAAGATGAGTCACTTTGCCAATTTAGCAGGAATGGCAAGACCAAACTCTGCGGATGCACGCAGACACCATAGCAAGCTCACATGACGCCCCCCCCCCAGGGGTCAGATACCAAGTGGTCTCTGGAAGGAAGGCCTCCCGTTTCTGCTCCCACTCTCAAGCCTGGGGGGTTGGGTGGGCTCAGGAATACGGTGGCTTCATCTAGGGATGGACACCAGGGTCACGCAGAACGACGAAGCACCTGGGTCCAGGGGTCCAGACCCAGTCCCGGGTCTGACTCCCCCCTGCTCGTTGCTCCACGCCACCAAGGCCGAAGTCATCCCCACCGGCAGTCAGCCCGCACTCACCGGGGCGTGAAGCAGCGCCTTGGCCTCGGTCTTCACCATGGTGCTTCCCTCCAGGGGGACGCGTTCTATCTTCCCCGTCTGCGCAAAGAGGAGGTGGGTCCCGGGGGGCAGGGGGATCACGGCGGTAGGAACCGGGGGTCCATGGTGAATCGGGGGAGCCACGGTGCTCAGACCTGGGTGACAGGAGATGTTAATGAGCAGGGCCCGTGTGCAGCAGGAAACTGCAGACACACGTGTGTGCCCGCGTGCACAGATGCAGAACCCTGAACGGCTCAGCCACGCATGCGCAGTTTACATCTTAAAGCACGAAGGGAAGAAAGACTTGTCAATCAAAGGGCATATGTAATGAAGCTACTGCAGGGCATGAGTTTAAAGGTCAAGTGAAAAAAAAAAAAAGGCATAGCCTCCTCCTTAATAGAAATAACTGAGCGGCTGGTCCCCAGCTCTGGACGTGGGCTGAAGCAGGACCGAAAACAATGCAATGGCACCAAGCCTGAAACTCCCGCCCACAGGGGGCTCGCACCCCAGGGGGCAGCTGCCGGGCGGTCTCACGCCCAAGAGACCGTCGGAGGGAACCTGCCCCCATACACCCGATCCCACGGGGGTGGGAGAGTCTTAGACCCCGGAGGCAGGAACTCGCCCTTCTGGGTTTGGCAGAACGAAATGATGACCGAGGCTAGTCCTCCCGTGGGCTCGGCCCTGTCTCCTACCTGCAGAACTTTTAATACCTGGCACAGTGGCTCCTGGCTCACCCGACAAGAGAGGGCCCAGGAGGGGACAGGCGGCCTGTGCTGCTGGTAAGGACACGCCGTGGGTGTCGAGAAACCACGGCCTCAGACCCGGCCCCGCCACGCCTGCCATGTGGATGGGTCATGGACACGCCTGGGCTCCTGGCATTCTAAATGGACTCGGGGGAGGTACAGCTCAGTGGTAGAGCGCGTGCTTAGCACGCGCGAGGTCCTGGGTTCAATCCCCAGTACCTCCATCAAAATAAAAATAAGCCTGATTACCTACCCCCGCCAAATAAAATAAAATAAAATAAAATAAAATAAAAGGGACTGTCTCAGTTCCTTTAAAATAATAAATAAATAAATAAAATTTGAAAAAAGTGGACTCGGTACCTAAAGGTCCAGGTGAACTGTGAAGGAGACAAGCGTACCAGGAAAACAGCCCCGCCCCGAGCAAGAAGGCCCCGCCCAGGGGCGG